CCCCCCTTGGTGAAAGGTGGAAAACCCGTTAAGGTCCATAAAAGAGGCAGAACCAACCAGGGCCAAGTTGCTCTAGAGAGAAACAAGTCCAGCAGGTTGATAGGTGGAAATAACGGCGAGACCCGGAAAAGAAGCAAGTCCAGTCAAAGGAAGACTTCTTCTTTGATGACAGATGGAAGAAACGGTCAAATCCGGAAAAGAGGAAAGACCAGCCAAGGCAAGATATCCAACCTGCCTTTAAAAAGCAGTAAGATCCAGAACAGAGGCAAAACCAACCAAAAAATATATACCCCGCCTTTTGCGACAAAGGAAAAAAACAGGAACAGAGGAAAATCCAACCATGGAAGCATTTCAATTCTGACAGCTGGAAAACCCTCAACCATGCAATATGGAGGCAACGCCAACCGGGGAGGCATTCCTGCTCTGTCTTTGGCGACAATTGGAAAAGTCAAAACGGTTTCGAAAAAAGACCAGAGCAAGAAGAATTATGTTCCTATATTCCCCTTGGAGAAAGGCGGAAAACCCGTGAAGATCCAGAAAAGAGGCAGGACCAGCCAGGGTCAAGTTGCTATAGTTGCTGCTATAGAATCGTTAAAAAGCGCCAGTATCCAGAGGAAGGACAAGACTAGCACCTTAGAAAGTGAGATCCGGAAAAGAAGCAGGGCCAATCAAAGGAAGATTTCAGGCGGAAAATCCTCGAGTATCCAATATGGAAGCAACAACAACCAAGGAACTATCTTGACAAGTGGAAAACCCTCCGCCATTCAATACAACACCAACCAGGGAAATTACGGCGAGACCCAGAAGAGAAGCAGTAGCAGTCAAAGAACGATTTCTATTTTGCATCTAGTGACAGGTGGAAAAGCAAGTAAAATCCATAACAGAGGCAAGACCAACGAAGGAAAGCAATATATCCCGCCTTCTGTGGCAGATAGAAATATCAGGAAGAGAAGCAAGCCCAACCAGGAAAAGGTCTCAATTCTGCATTTGTTGACAGGTGGAAAAAAGGGTAGTAAGCAGGACAAGAACAACCAAAGGAGGGTGCCAACAGAGGGTGTGACGAAAGGTGCACCGCATAGCAAGACCCTGCAGGTAGGCAAAACCAACAAGAAACAGATTCACGTGAAGACTGTCGCAGGAGGCCGCATAGTGGCATTCAAACGAGATGTGCCTGCATCAAGTAAGCCACAGGCTCTTGACACTAATGTTGGAAAAGTTAAATCGAAGAGATTGCCTCCAGTCATAGGAAGTGGTTCACAAAACGTAAATGCTTCTTATGGATCGTTGACTCTGCAAGGAGTGGCCAACCCAAATGTCAATGGAACATACCTGTTGATTGGCAGTTATGGATCTGACTCTAGCAAGGGTGTAAGTGTCCGATGGGTTCGTCATGACACAGTGTTTCCCTTCACCAGCTACTCCACTGGGAAAAACGCAAATTCTGACGGTCACCTAAAACCTCAGCCACCTGGCACTTCAGACCGGAGCTTCACACAGCAGAAACTTGTTACAATGTTAATGTTAAGAAGTGGTTCACAAAATGAAACTGCCTCTGACAAATCATTACACGTACAGCATGTCGCTAAACCGCATGTCAATGAATCAAAATTGATGGCCGTTGTTAATGGATTGTTAAATGCCCAACGAATCGCTGTTCCGTATGTCAATGAATCAGGAATCAATGATGATGGTGATGAAGGTTCAGGTTATTCCGATGGCCCAGATACACCACTCGCATATGTCACTGATGCCCCTGCAGCCGGCGTTGGGCACGAAGAGTCAGATTCATCCATTTCTGCTAAGACATCAGCGTTTGCGGAGAACATGATTCCAGGGACCCTGTATGCGTCCGGTAACAAGGCAGGAAGCATAATGTACAGGGTACCTCGGAATAGCGAGGAAAGAAGCCCTTAGCTCTGGCCAAACCGTGCCCTCTGTGCCCGTGAATAGAACTTGATCAAACCTCATTGTAGCACCAGCTTTTACAACAGAATTTACCTCTGACTTTCTTTTTTTTTTTTTGTTCTTATTCATTTAAAATTTAAAATTTTCTCTCTTTTTGGGTTCATGTTTTCTTATTATCCAACGGGATTAGTGTAGTAATTACCTTTGCCCTGTGCACGCGTTTTCCAACCTCGAGCCTATTTACGGCGGTGGTAATAAAGCTACGCCAAAAACACATTTACTTAGATTATTTTCTAACGCAATGCGTTGGCAAAGCGGTATGACAATAGGCGTCACCTCTACTGCATTCAGCATCAATTTTGCTGGGAAGATGGGTATTGTGTTAGAAAATACCTTAAGAATAATAAAAAATCCCGAGCATTAATCTAATATTAGGATCGTTTCTCTTAATCAGTTTTAGTTAACATTTAAAAAATGAATAACATTACACTCTCTTTTATCTGAAATAAAATGCCATAACTTTGAATGATGTCAGTTTATTTTTTATTGGATGATTTGAATCAAGTAATGGATCGGTCGATGGTTTTGAATGAGAGAAATCGTTTTAACCTTTCTTAACCTGCTATCGAGCGCCTGCAATGACTTAAAAGGTATTGTCCTTCGAGTATGCCTTCCAAGCTCGTAGTTAAAAATTAGTCCCTGCTCTTGCCTTTGCAGTTCTGTCCACGCGCCACATACGCCGGGTGTGGGATAGGTGCGCGCACCCCCTCAACTTCTTTAAGCAAAATGCATACTTAAATCCAACTGAATATTAATTAAGTCGAGGGGCCGTGACCCATGCCAAGCGTTGCTTAATTTCAAGTGCACAATATTGCCGTTATCCCCCTCCGCATTGCTAATTTATCTTTATATTTCTGAATTTTTAACCACCGCACTTTGAAGGTTTCAAACGTTTTCTAAATTTCATCTATCACCGTAATTTAATTTAAAGCAGCCAAAGTTTTAAATATAGCCGTATTATAATATCTTAAAACCTTAAATGTCAAAAATATGTTCGTGCGCATGTGTTTTATGCGTTGCTAATTGACAGAAGATTGTTTCTTTTAAGTTACAATGTGGTCCTATATTTCTCCTTTCTGTAAGCCCCCTTGAGACTGCAACAGACGCAACTGTTAACGGATAAGAATCTTATCAAGATTAGCCCCTCCCTCAAACATAGGTAGTACAGAACTGTCAAGTGTTTTAGCAATTGAGTAAAATCTACATTTTTTGGACCACATCTCATAGAGGGTTTGCGAAACCATTATTGTAAAAAGAAATATAGAATTAATTATGAAAAATGTTACCATTTGAGCAATACGTAGTGACACGTATATCTTAACTGTATCTTTTTAAAGGTAAATACACAAATAAAGTCCTGTCATTGGACAGCGCACTTGTCGAAAAATAGCGTGCTTGATATAATTTTGCTACGAGGAAGTGCAGCGGTGGGTGGTTACTGTCAAGCATCACAATTAGACTATCGCACAGGAAAAAAAATATACTTTTATTTAGGAATGCAACAGATAAGAAGAAAATAACCCCCTTTTGGAGTCCACGCATAAATTACGGCCCAAAAAGCGATAAGGAACCACCAATATTAGCGGGAATCGGAGACTGCCGTCTGCCTGGCGTTAATTTTCCATTAACTTGAAAAGATTTTGGTAAATGATTTCTTAAATGCTTTTTTATTTATCATTAAGCGACGAAATGGTTGCTATAGTCTAAAACACTTTTTATTCCTGCCCAAAACTGGGTGTTTCATGGGGCTTCCATTTATTTGTCTTGGAAGTGGACAAAGTTTTGATGGGAATACGGATAATTCAGGCATTAATTTTGAGAATACGAGAAATAGGGAGGCATAAATTCAACCTGCACAGCCCCCACCCATTAATACTTTCACGCTGTCTGATGCTCTCGGCTCTCACGCATTGGACCTTTTTGCCAACCACGCATTAACTTATTCCCACGCCGTATTCGATTAAACAATGTTACATACACTATCAAGGATACTGCATTTTATGTATGTTTCATCCCTGTCTTCAAGTATGCATTTGTACAAAAAAAAAAAAAAAACTCACTATCTTTTTTTCAATTATTTTAATGCTTTGTACCTAAACGAGAGCAACTTTTGTAGAAATAAAGCCAGAAAAAGATTTTATATACACATGTACGTGAACGTGAGGCACGGATGTTTGCTCGTTCTTTAACTCTTAAACTATGTATTTGGAATGCTTCCGTGGTGACTTTTTTCCGTCAGGGGGAGACAGTAGCACCTAGTGTGCCTTAATTATGGAATCTCTATTTCAAGACGTGAAGTTGCTAAATTACTGGCTGATTTTGTCCTAGTTGAAAGACATTTTCTCATCTACACTGTACCCTTCATTTCATGCCATGTCGGTATGCCAGCGGAGATATTAGCTTGGTGATCACCGTTCAGATCTTGACATCCTCGTATTGGGGATCACTTTAAACGTTAATAAAAATTCTGCTCGCTCTGTACTCTTTTGTCTTAGTTCACACTGTGGCATCGTTTATGGGAACGCCCTAATTTTAGTGTCTCGTTAACAGGAAGCAGTCCGGGTCACACGTAATTGCCACTTGTCACAATGTTTCTGAAATGATATGAGGGCGAAATCATCAGATTCATGACGTAAAGGGGGTATCAACAAATGGATGACATCATTAGACACGTTAAACATTTTATCATTTGATAATACAAAAACTTATGGCCTGTATAGGATGTAGGCTGCGGAAAGGGGATGCAGCGAAAAAGATATTTTTGAAACAAATTTGGGAGGAGGGTCTTTATAAAGTTTTAGCCTTTTCCTTTCTCTTAGTTCATCAAAAGTCTTCATTTTCCTTCAGCCATCGTCTAAAATTAGCGCCACAAATGGCGGTACAAATGACCTGCTTTCATGTATTGTTTTTGTCGTGTTAAGAGGGTAGAAGTTTTAAGTTTTTTTTTCATAATTTTACATTTAATATGGAGATAATTGCATCCTTGTTTTATTACCTTTTTATTCCTGTCATCTGTCTCTTGGGTAGCAACACAATTATCCCTTGTAACCTGAGGCTCCGTAACCCAGGTAACCGTTCCCATAGTTACCAGCCTTGACCCCGACACCATAGTGTCCTCCTAGGTAGTAAGTTCCTGCATACGGCTCATACCCTCCTCCGTAGCCAAAGTCATGACCATAGCCATATTCGCCTTTGAGACCAGCTCCGTAGGGGCCGTACATACCGCCGTGTCCGCCCTTATATCCGGCGCCGTACGCTGAATGCGGGTACGGAGAGTACTTGTATTGCATTGGCTGTTTGGGCTCGTAATGGCCGCCACCGTGCGCCCAGTAAGGGGGTGGGGCTCCGTAATAGGGTTTTTGATAGGGCATGGGGGGAGAGGGGTGGAAATATTTCTTTGGTGGTAGAGGGGGAGGGGGGTAATAAGTTTGAGGTATGGGGATGATGGGAGCCGGCGTGACATTGTTATTATTATTATTGTTGACAGTTGGGAAATGTTTACCGTAGTCGATGAAATAACGGAATCTGCGATAACTGTGTTTTTTGGCTTCGTTGTCTTTGTATTCCGGGTCTAAGGGTTCCTTGTCTTTGTAACCGTACTTGAAGTAATCTGGATAGGAGTAGTCTATAGACTTAGATAGGCCGTACAGCGGGGGTGGGGCTACCGGAGGGCCGTAGTCAGGGTAGGAGTAGTCTGGTAAAGGACCTGCCGGCAAATGATAGGCAGTGGTCAGCGACATAATGGACACTACGGACATCACCGCTGCCGCAACCTTACTGGACAGTCCTGTAATTACATAAAGGTGAACATTTATTATTGCAGCTGACATGTTCATGTGTTAAAGCAGACACGCACGCGCGCGAACGCACGCACACACACACACACACACACACACACACACACAGAGAGGTCAAGTGAAAGCGACAGACAGGAATACTGTTTTCACTGCCTGTATACATGCACTTAATTCATAATTTAATTAGAATTAAATTTTATGAAATCATAACATATCCACTAAAATTTTGGTCCTATAGCAGCCGAATCGTTAATAAGATTAATTGATAAGAATATCCTAGGAACCATCAAACTAACTTGTTTAATGGATGCTAGATTGAACCAAACACCCCTGATTATTTCACTGATCTGAAAATGCATTAATATGAGCCAAAAGAATGATATGCTTCTAATTTGACATACTCTATTATGGGCCACAATGAAAGACAATGAAAAAGACATCAAAATCAATAAAGATTAAATAGAAGAAACTGAACATTTTGGTTCTTTGAATACGTAGAAAAAGAGACTATGAAAATTCAACGTTTTAAGAACGCTGGATAAATTACCAAGGGTTCCCATGCCGGCGACCATATCAATCCGCTCAAAACTGTCCAGCACCAGTGTTCCCTAGTCCTCTTCAAGTAGGCAATATGAACCCTTATCCTATCTTATGTGGGCAGGCAGTATAAAACTTTATCGGCATTTCATTAAATTGAATTTAATACAGGGAAATGTCAAAGCCTTTTTTTAGCGAATACTCTTTTCTTTAGATACTGGGGTCACGGTTAACGCCTCGTAATTGCTAATTGATATGTAATCTTTTATCATTCTTTGACCTCTCACATTAAAGGTCACTGTGGTGTCGTACTTTTTGTCCAGAAATTCACATATTTCCAAATATTTTGACGATGATGATGCCCCTGTTCCTTAACGTTCATACAGTTTCACTCGTAGATATTGGATACATGTACATATGTAGTATCGATAACAAGACGAATTTGAATGCATTTATTTTCTCAAAGTAAACATTTCGAGACATCGAAATAAAAAGTATTTAAGAAAAAATGCAGTGAGTTATTTTTTATTAATTTTTGTTAAAAGTATACTATACGCGTTTGAAACATTTAAAATAAACTAAATAGAAATGATATAGAACATTGAATTTAAGGGAAGGGAAGGATCAAGTTTTAATTTGTGGTAGAAGAATTTCTTAAAGGAGAAAATCGATTTGGCGCGAATATCTCTGATGGGATAACTTTGAGTTGAATATTACCGTGTTTATCTTTGTCCTGCTCAGACTGCTCAGAGTTGGAAATAAGAAGAATTTGTGAGGAAAAAATAAAGCGTATGGTATTATGAAATGATATAGAACATTGAATTTAAGGGCAGGGAAGGATCAAGTTTTAATTTGTGGTAGAAGAATTTCTTAAAGGAGAAAATCGATTTGGCGCGAATATCTCTGATGGGATAACTTTGAGTTGAATATTACCGTGTTTATCTTTGTCCTGCTCAGACTGCTCAGAGTTGGAAATAAGAAGAATTTGTGAGGAAAAAATAAAGCGTATGATATTAAAAATCACAGTTGATGAGAAAATATATCTTAAATATAGAAATTAAGGGATAAAAGAGCCATTCCAAAGTTAAAGACTGCTTTTTTTATCATAATGTGCTAAATCAGAATGAAACTAACACCGCGTAACAAGGGTTTTGATACTTTTACCATGCAGCAAGTTGTAGATTTTTTAAATCAGGACGAACAGCTAGTTTTCGTGAAGCGTTTCATTTGAAAACAGTTTGTGGTTTTCTCAGCACGTTTGATTCGTGCCGTGGTTTGACATTGGGTGGATTAGGTTGAACTACATATGATAACGAAGGCAGCTGGGTACTTGATTTATCTAGATACCTCGCTTGTCACATTAATAAAAATGTTAAAGCAAAACTGAAGTAAGTCTTACTTTCTAAATAGTTAAGGTGGTCGTTCAAGAGGAAGATAATGTTACGATTTTATGAGGCGAAATTATATGGCGCCAATGCTGGAGTTAAGATTTTACGTGGACGTTAGCTAATGATACGGTTTAGTTATCCAAAATTGAAAGGGAATAATCATTATATTTACCAATATGGCTAACCTAGCACAGACCACGTTAAGGAAATTCTGAAAATGCACTGCATTATTAACTGACAGAAAAGGGGTTTGCACGTTGCTTTGTTTTCGGTAAAAGACGAAATATCGGGTGCACACAATATGGTGCTCGCTATCGGTTCATTGCGAGAGAAAAAAAGTTTAAAGTAATAAATGACACGAGCATAAATGTCATCGACAAGACATATTTATTCACTGGTCTGAAAATAAGTTTGCAACATTTACAGTGATATTGACTGAGCATAATGACTTTGTCTCTACATTCGTGTACGCCCGCAGCTGTTGGTGCCTTAACATGACTCGTTACAGCTCCTTGTCATTGCTTCCCAGCGTTTTCTACAGCAGCTTAAATGTCTTGTAGGATGGTTTTGTAGCAGCAACATGCTTACTATATTCTATAACACGTACGACATTGCTGACTATTTTAGGGTTGGACATTATTGGTGATTGGTTTTGTTAATCACTTTAACATAAAAGGAAGAGAGTTTAAAATTGACCTAGAGATTTCGTCTCATCAGAGTAGACTCGTAGGCAATGCCATAGTATTGTTAGTATCTCTTGGTAGGTGAAGATGCAGTCCTCAGTTATTCTTGTTCTAGGTTCTGGGCGTGAAACAAATCCGTGATCTGCAAAAAAAATGAAGTAAGTTGAATGAACGAGGAATTATATGATGCTCCAAGGATTTTTTTTAATTTTCGTAAAGAACAGCGGCAGTGGTAAATAACTGTTTTAAATGTTACATAGACCTACCACAATGAAACAAAGCAATGCTGATTGTGAAAAAAATACTGACCTTTTGTAAGGATCCGACTACAGATAGAGAGCAGAGAAGTTAGGGTATCCGTAATTGTACGGCCCGTACCCAGGAATACCATATGCCGGGTATCCCACCCCAGGATAGGCTGTCCCGGGGTACACGTATCCCGTCACTGGGTATCCTGTCCCAGGGTATCCTGTCCCGGGATATCCCGTCCAGGGGTATCCCGTCCCGGGGTATCCTGTCCCAGGATATCCCGTCACTGGGAAACCATATTGTGAGTATATCGGCGGCTGGAAGCTATATGGGTCCCCGGGGTATGGCACGCCAGGCCCAGGGAGATGCAAGCAGAGTGCGAGGTCTAGGCACGACAGAACTAATAGAACGGAGACATAAACCCTCAGCAAGTAAAGCATTTTGATTCGACAATTGCAACGGTACCTTAAGTACCACAAAGATTGAACGGGTTTCAGTTTAATTTATAGACTATTTTGGTGAAGGAGAGCCTGGGGCACCATGCAATTTATATATATATATAGATATCGAGAAGGAAGTGAGTCACGCTTGATATCACATTTATAATATTATGCTTTCTAGTACACTAAGGCGTTGCTCCACCCACATCAGGCAGTTTTTAAGGCTAATTATAAGACGCTGACACGAGGTCGCTGGACTAAAAGCGTTTGCTATGCTCATGTTAGTTATTATCAAAAAAAATATAGTATAACACGATATCGTTCACAGCGTTTATTTCATTGTTTTAGAAAAAACCTATATTTGTCTAGCATGATATGTTAATAAAATTACAATCGATGAAGTCATGAATCATGAGAAAATGGCTGAACTATATTTAATATGTCAGTGAAGATATTTTTTTGTTGAAAAGGACATATTTATGCTCGCAAACCTTCACCTTTGTCATATACTGATAATAATAGTTCATGGCAAAATTCAAAAGAGCTGTAATAAAGATTCTCTTCGAACTATTGACAAGCTGGGAAATAAATGGACGGTTGATTATACGAGGCATGACCAAACTCTTCCCTGGTAAAAATGGCAAGATCTCATGGAGTAGGGATCCTGGTGGCAGCCCTTGTGGTGCTACTGACGCTCCCTGGGGAAGACAGAATATGGAGGCACATATGGGTAGGCCTATATATATATACGACGGTAGTCTGCGTATACTCCCGCTTTCATGGTTACACCCAAGCCAGATCTGGACCCTATTTCTGTGGCAATGTACAGCATATGTACAGCAAAGGGGGGGGGGGGTGCAACCGGCCGCCGATTTACAACAAGCCGCAATTTTACAGTCAACCGCCAGTGCTACATGTACCTACGAATCCGCCGATACCATATAAAGGGTAGATAATTTATTGTGCACAATAAATCTGTAAGTTGCGTTCAGAAAGTTCACGATGCTGAATTTAATTTAGCTATTTGCGTTTTTCTATGAGATGAATGCCTATTTTTAAATGTCAACTGATAAAACTACGAATTAGATAAAAAAAATTAATAAATCAGAGAAGAGAAGACTGTTTGAAGAAATGAATGAAGCTTGAACACAATCTTAAATAATGATTTTCTCAGACCTAAATCTTTATTTTCAAAATAGAAGGGCATTTGCTTTTGTATGAAGGCAAGATTTCCGATATTTGCGATAGATGCCTCCAACACAATGTTTTTTAACCGTGTTGTGCTTATTTTGTTGCAATATTTTGCATCGATGATTTATTACTGGTCGACGTTTCTCGAAAAAGAGGCACTAACCATTTACATTTTTTATATTATTTGAATGATATAGAACAGTATATGCTTATTGTATTTTTGCTTCACTTAAACACCACAAAAACTAAATTTGGACAGTCGAAAAAGATGTTTAGCAGAAATGTTTTAATAATGTCGAACATCAGGAGCATCACATTGAATCGGTTTTATCATTTCCCAGTTTTGATAAAAACATCGTTTGTTCTCTGCAACAATTAAATTGACATATACACGGAGTTAACTCAGCACAACGTTTGTGCATAGTATCCAGCCACTTGGTTTTTACATATTTTAATGGGAAAAAAAACCTAAATGAATATTTGGTGAATTGGAATAAAATTACAACATTTGTAGAAAAAATATTTACAATGTCGGGGATGATTAGGGCGGACATCTACGTAAACATATAGGTGGCTAAAAATTCAATACATTGTGCGGACTAATGATCCTTTATTGAACGAGATGAACAAATAGTTGTGGTACATCTTATTTTTTGCCACTTGGTAGATTTCTTTTGTCCGTTAAGGACAATGTTTTTGTAATACAATCTATTTGATTATTGTTCCAAATTGTAACCCCGACCGCTTGTCCATAAATGATACGCAAGTCAATAATGCCAATGTTTTTTCGTGTAATGTGTCTTTATCATCATGGCCGAAATTTGTACAGTGTATTGCTTTTGCGAGGCCGAAAATTCTAGCCTTTGAAATAGAACTTTAGAGAAGTCATCCGTAGAAGTCATCTGTAGTATAGTCGTTCTGGTCAAAGCCGCTGGTTTCTAGGTACCTAAAAGTATTAAAAAAAGATGTAAGGGCGTGAAACATCACAAATAAAAAGTGCATTCTTAATTTGGGAAATGGCTATATTCTTAATGACTGATCTTAGTCTTAGTCGTATTGAAAGGTATTGGTA